TATGGGGAGGCGACAATGTATTCTTAAGCCGTCGCCCCACGGCACAAACGTTGTAAGCTACACGCCTGTCCATAACAGTTGCAGTGCCACTCAGAGCTTTAAATCGCAAAGGTCTGAGGGGCACTGCCACTGCTCCCGTCACCCTAGACATAAGTTAACGCACACAATAAAAAAAACTAGGAGCTCTACTTGTACTAAAGCCTCTAAATTTGATGATGTGTTCCTAATCTGCATTGGGTTTACGTGAGGATTACAGCCCAAGCCTTCTCATTGAGAGGACGCCTGTGCTCCGCAGTGTGTCTATAAATAGGCTCACTATTATATGTCTTCTCATTTATTTACGTAAGTGACAAATATAAATGACAGTTTTTAAGGAGAGGGGTTTAGAAATGGAACGAAACTAGTCGACAACTTTTTTTATTAAATAAAAGAGTTATAAAATTTCACATGTATAGAGTGTTTTTTAAATGGGACAATATGAGGAAATCCGAAACCATAGAAGATACAAGGAAACTGTCTTAGGAGCTATTAAGTCTTTTTTTTATGAAAACATTTTTGGCATACTCAATTGATTAAAATTTTTTAAGCTATGATAAAATTTAATTAAAAAAACATTTTTCGTACAAAAGAGTCATATTTTTTGAAATTTGACCAACTTTTATTGTCCCGATTCTTTTCTTCCAATACAAGAAATCTATCAGCATTAAAATAATAGTCAATTTTATTTATTTTGTATGAAAAACATTTTGTTTGACGAACTTCTGCTGTCCCGATGTTTTCGATCGTCATCGATCAGCACTAGGAAAAAATTTGAAAAATTTTAATAACTTTTATGGACAGCTCACGCTTGATCAATAAATTGACTATGCCAAAATTGTTTTCACAAAAATAGACTTAATAGTTCCTAAGACAGGTTCATAGTCCATTCTACGGCTTAGGATTTTCTTAAAAAACACTTTTATAAATGATTTTGTTACGTGTAATTCGTATTATTCTTATGACTTTCATGTCACAAAAGCAACGTTTTGATATATGATCAATTGATCACATGTAGCCACCAAAGGTACGAGATGTCGCTAGCGCTCGCTAGTTTACAAAAAAAGTGTTCCGCAATCATCAAAAATTTGCAAGTCATCGCTATCTCCATAGTGCCTCTATAGAAAAAGTGTATTATGAAACATGGTATTAAATTTCTCAATACATTCATTTGCAATCGTCGTAAAATACAATAGCGCAAAAAGATACCATAAGTAGTTACAAAGAAAACACACTGACACATGCGGTATATAATTATAGCCGACGGATAATCATCCGTCGGCTAAAAACCAAGCCTGTGACGAAGTGGATTTCCGAGTTTTTTGGAGTGGTCACTCGAATAAGTTTAAAAATAGCAAATTATTAGTTCCTAACTTCGATTTAAGTACATCGTGTTTCCTATTGATTTGTTGTAATAGCTTATGCTTGACAATAAACGTTAGGTCAGGTCGGTGCCCTCACTTAGGTATTCACTATTTGAATAGCATTTAGTACTAGGTACTTTTAACTGCCTGCGTGGCCGAACGGTTACCATGCCGGAACATTTGTATAGCCAACATTTATTTGTCTCACGAGTATGGGTGTAATTTGTGGTTGTCTATGTGCGTATTCATGGTACCCCCGACACAGAGTTTCCTTAATGCGGAGCTATGTTGAGTGTGTGCGTTATTATTATTAAGATACTTAGTACTTAGTATGAAGACATTTCATACAAAATTAATAAAATAGACAATTTTTTTTAAATGTTGATAGACTCAGGGTCATATTCTAGAACTCTACTCAATGCTCAAGTCAAGATTGCACTGGCAACACAAGCACTGGAAATACGACCCTAAGGGCAGGGACTTGAGTATGATTTCGAATGCTTTAAATCATACTTAAGTCCTGACTTGAGCATTGAGTAGAGTTCTAGAATACGACCCTCAGTTTCCTACAAGAATTATTTTATTGTATCGGATGAAAAGAATCGGGACAGCTGAAGTTGGTCAAATTTAATAAAATGTTATTCATTTTTAACCGACTTCAAAAAGAGGGTACCTCAGTATTGGTCCCATTTAAATTTCAAGAAAATATTCCGCCTGTACTTAGTACTAAGTGTTATAGAAATAGTGGATACCTAAGTGAGGGCACCGAACGCTAAGTTCATGAAACTTTGAAGAACTTTTTTTTTTAAGTTGAATTTAAAGTTAGAGCATGATAATTACAATAAAAAATTAACATTTTTACTGTAAACCATTGACTTACAAATAAATGAACGATGGGTCTAATACAAAAACCACGAAAAAAATGTCCCAAGTCAACCTATTTAAATGTAGTGACATGTAAAGGAATATGAAAAAGCTAAAACGTTGAATTTAAATTGTAATGTCATCGCAGTACTGTCTAATTCTGCTTGCTTCGCTGTCAGTCGAACAAACGAAGACTAAAGCGTGAATGACGCTCTGTATACGATTGTAACGCCCTATAAGTTCGGACACTTTTTAGCGCGGACCCGACGTCCATATAATTGTAAGTCAATGCTGTAAACTATGTAACAATTAGAATAGGACTGGCATGTTCTCTGGAACGAAAGTCCTGAAATTTTATAAAGAATACAAAGAAGAATATCAAGATTGGCGTGCTCTTTATCTTGTACTTGCAACATATATTTATTTTAATTTCATTTTCCTTTTTATATATTTCCGTTAAATTAACTAATTATTTGCAATTGCTTCTTGCACATAATTATTTGCAATAGACAATTGCAAATAATTACTTCAAGGTTAAACTGTGATAATGTTAGTCGTAAGAAATCTGGATCGCATTATTTCTTCAATTGATTCTTTTTCTCTTATTTAATCTTTAAAAGTTGGCAGGTAATAGTTACCTGTAAATGAATTTGAAATAGATTTTAAATTTAGGTGACATTGTATATTTTTTCTAATTTAAAGTTTTGTACCTGGCAAAAAATGACGTGAAGAATACGAAAACTATGTGCGTCTGTGGCACGCACTGACTTAACAATGTTTGTTTTTTAGTTTTTGAATTAATTAATTTTAATGTGCAGTAAAATTTCTTGTGAAAGAGTTCGTCCAGGGAAGTACTGCCACCTTACCTATTTCTGCCGCGAAGCAATAATGTGAACATTACGCTTCCGCTTTGGAAAGGTAAGGGTGCTGGTGAATTTGTAATAATGATAATAACGCACACACCCAACATAGCCCCGTATTAGAGAAACCCTGTATTGCGGGTGCCATGGTCGCACACATAGACAACCACAAATTGCAACCAAACTCACGAGAGAGTAATAAACGTTGACCATACAAATATTTCCTCTGGCCCGGGAATCGAACCTGGGACCTCTGCGTGGCAGTTCGGCATGGTAACCGTTCGACCACGGAGGCAATTGCAGGCACGTAGGAGTTGTCAACTTATGTCTCAGGGTGACGGGCGCAGTGGCAGTGCCCCTCAGACCTTTGAGTGGCACTGCAATTGTTACGGACAAGCGTGTCACTTATCGCCAGGACCTGTTCGTCTCGTCAGCGTCACTTGGTCTCATTTGTAAAGTATTATTTATGTTTTCCAAATTCAGTTGCGATGTTTGTTTTACCACGCTTTGAATCTTGTATCTTACGTCGCCAAACAAAAGTCAATACGGGATTGACATTTATGCCTCTGCAAAGTGATTACGCCATAGTGGAAAGTTGTGAAATTGAACGCTCTTTGTTAACATGGCTAACTTACAACTGCACACAAGGCGAGGCCTTGATGAGATAACCGGGGGCTCTGTCCCTAGCTATTGCAAAACTAGTTTTCTCTTTGCATTCTGCATCTATAGCTGCATGTAACTGCACACGCCTTCAGTAAAACCTGTTATAAATCTAGAGAAAAGGAGCAATCGAGCTATCCGGTTCTAAGAAACGCTTTATTACCTTTCTAAGATTTGTTTAAATGTTCTTCAAAAGAACATAGACGTAGCGTTTGCGTGTTTACGTTTGACGTTTGAATTTATTATCCTAAAATCTCAAGGTAACATTTTTTAATATGAGTATATTTTGTTGCCAGAAGCAAGCAGGTTCTACAAAAAGTATGAGCAGACTTTGGAGGGTACTTCACGGGCGTTCGCGGCGGAAATACCCATGATGCCGCGGCTTGGCGATTGGGAAAAATTCAAAGAAAAAACTGGGTAAACAAAATTGCTAACATTGTTGATTAAAATTGTGGCCAAATTGTTACGTATGCTAGATATTGAGTGTGTACTAAGGTGGTTACGCGTGATGCTTTTCGACTGTACACCGAATTTCAAGGGCCCTGAGTCAGGGGTGGGCGTGGCCCCTAATCAGGACGCCTCGATTATTGACTGGACGTAGTTAGCAAAAAAGATCCAATCCACAAAATTATCAAAAAATGAGCTATATCAACCAAACGGTTCCTAAAGTCTAACCTCAAAAATCCAACGCATAAACATAAATAAATATCTCTGAAGTTACAAGACATTATAAGTTTTGAAAATAAAACAAGACTGAGAAATATTTTGAAACTTCAAACTGCCGTATCTCGAAAGTGACTGGATGTGCATACCCTTTTTGTTTAACTACGTCCAAGTACTAAATAAATATTCTATAATATCATATACGATGCACTGATCTCAAAGTAACTAAAGCAATTTATATATACAGGGTGTAACCGCAAGGTGTAGTCATATTAAAGGAGCCAAACCTATACTTGATCTAGACCCTCTGTGCAAAATATCAAATAAAAATAAGTGACTTTTAATGTTGATATAACTTTAATTATGTTTGTATAAATAGTGATTGTCCGAAACAACCACTGCGTCACAACTCTATTGCTAGTTACGTTACTACGACTTCACAAATTCATTAATGAAACCTGGGCGGCCGCAAGCGGGGCGAAAGAACAGCTGACTACAATTGAAATGCCACTGTAAAAACATGATTTGAATATGTTGATAACACGTTAATATTAAGTAACAAAATCTTTAAATACCTAGAAAAATCGAATTATTTCTAACAATATTATTTTACCATACCTAGGTACGTACTTATTTACATACAATTTAAAGGATTTTTATTTACTTATTAAGCCCGTAGTTACGCACGCCTTCATCGTATACACATTCTACATAATTTTGTATTAATACATTTATTTACGACAATTTTACAATAGTGGATACTTTTTTAATTGGTACTTACCTACTGTGCAATTCATACACGTTTTAATGAATTTCCTACGAATTGTAATTCACTGTTGTACAATGTACGAAATATTGACTTGTTTACGATAATTTTGAATAATAAGTACAATCACTACACGCACTGCTGGCACATTTCACACATTTACAGGTAAGGTTCAAAATGCCGACCTCCATGCAATATGCATATTTCCGTGCGTCGGTACAGAGACTGCTCTACTCTTTGAAGCATCTGCCGAGTGATTTGACTAAACGCCATTTCGATCCGCTGCCTCATTTCTTCTGCGCTTTCACAGGACTCCGCATAAACAATATTTTTATATGACCCCACAAAAAAAATCGAGCGGTGTCAAGTCTGGGGACCACGCTGGCCAGGGTACAGGACCTCCCCGCCCAATCCACTGCGGGAGACGGTCGTTCAGATGGGAACGTACATTTCGAGCAAAATGTGCGGGTGCTCCATCGTGCTAGAAAGTCATCCCGTGTTCCATCACGAGTCTCACGTATTGTGTCACTGGCAGGGCCATCAGAACGTCACCCAAGTCTTCTGTTAGGAATCTTAAATAATTGGCCCCATTCAGACTTGCCGGCAAAAACACTGGACCGATGACGGCACAACCTATTATACCAGCCCACACGTTAATCCGCCACTGGTGTTGAAAATTTGATTCCCTTGATACGCGGGGATTCAAATGAGTCCAAAAATGTTCATTATGCATATTGATAATGCCCGCACGCGTAAATGACGCCTCGTCTGTCCACAGTACCGACGAAGCGAAGTCGGGAGACCTCCCAACCTGGTCGCGGTACCAGCGGCAAAATGCCAAACGTAGATCATAGTCCGCTTGTAACAGCTCCTGCGTTCTTTGAAAATGGTATGGGTGCTGGCCATCATCCCGTAGCACACGCCACACACTCATATGGTTCACACCACCAAAGGCTGCCGCAGCACGACGAGTACTTGTCTTTGGATTGCCGAGAAAACGTTCCAAAACATCTGCCTCGAATTCTGCGTCTCGTGAACTCGGCCGGCCTTCAGAACTGGAACCACGGAATGATACACTATTATGAAGTCTCATAACCATCTTCCTGAAGCATTCCACAGCAGGAAATGGTCGACGTCGATTTTCTGGGACGCCATCAATAAACTTTGCCCAATAAATTTGGCGAGGCTGGCGCAAGCTCCCATCGGCTGCGCCTACGCACAACATCATCTCTTAGTAATCACTATTGCTTAAGCGTGACATAGTTTAAATAAACACAAAAACAAGACACAAACAAACCGATGACACCTATTTAGTCCTCACAACGCAAACGGCAATTACAGACTGTTACAAAAAATTAAAAAATAGCACCTCTGCCTCAGCGGCGGCACATCAAAGGACGCCGACTGAAACGCAAATTTTGGAATATAGGGTAACGTTTTCATAATGTACCTACAGGGTGAAATTAAAATTATTACCATCCTTTTGAAATAAGACCCTTCTCCTGATACAAATTACATCATTACATACACATTAAACGAATACCTATATCCTACGTCTACGACCTTCAACGTTGCACTGCATACGCCTTTGTTTGTAAACAAGCTCTGACCATCACCCGTACCACTTCCACATAATGCAAGAACTGACTGAGTGATTACGGATATACTGCACTAAGGAGGCAGTCACCCATCGGAAACTCACGACGTCCGAAACGAAAGCCTAACACACTAACCACTACACCATGGAGGCAGTCGACTATAGGAATCAAATCCACGACCTCCGAAACGAAAGCCTAACACTCTAACCACTACACCATGGAGGCAGTCGACTATAGGAATCAAATCCACGACCTCCGAAAACAAAGCCTAACACTAACCACTACACCATGGAGGCAGTCGACTATGGGAATCAAATCCACAACCGCCGAAACGAAAGCCTAACACTCTAACCACTACACCATAGAGGCAGTCGACTATGGGAATCAAATCCACGACTTCCGAAAAGAAAGCCTAACGCTCTAACCACTAGACTATGGAGGCAGTCGACTATGGGAATCAAATCTACGACATCCGAAAAGAAAACCTAACACTCTAACAACTACCCCATAGAGCCAGTCAACTATGAGAATCGAATCCACGACCTCCGAAACGAGTCTAACATTAACCACTAATCCACATCACCATGTATAAAATCAAATGCTGGCGGCGAAAATCAAAGGTGATATTTTTGCCGCCAAAGTTGCCGCCAAAGGCTTGCGACTTCGCTACGATTACGTATCGCGTACGCAAGGCGACTAATCTTGATACTTTGTTTATTTAGGTAAGATTTTTTATGGTTTTACACTATTGCTAATTTAAACTATTCTAAAATATTTCTTTAGATGAGTAGATATTATTAGGAAGTAAGAACCTTAATAGGTTCAACGGATATTAATTATTTCAATTTCACCATGTAATAAACCCATACCCAGAAAGTTGTCGTGTGTAGATAAGTCAAATTAAGCGTAAGCCTGTTGTTAGAAACGTGCGCTCAGCAATAGACGTATGTAAGTTAGTAAAGTACTATTTTTTGCACAAGGTTTAGTCCACTGCACTTGCATAGTAAGTGGTTGGAAACTTGACATTCTCGCATCTTTGAAGATTTCGGCAATTATCTCCGAAATCCAAGTTTTCTCACGATATTTTCATTTCCAAGCAAGTGATGAAAATTTATTTTATTTTTATTTTTTATTTTTTATTTATGGCACAATGTACAGACATCAGATACAGAAAGTGAGGAAAATAAAAACACTTAAAAATTAATACAACAGGCATATCTGTGCCCAATTATTACTGTGCTCAACATTCATTTTAAAACATTTAGATATACTTAAACAGACACTAAATCAATCATAAAAAAAAAATTAAATTAAATTAAAATTACAATAATTAATTCGTGGTCAACGATCAAAACTAATTTCTTGACGTTTACCGACCTTCAGGTTGCACCTTTACGATGAAAGTGTCCCAATACAAAATTTCAACTTTTTGGGAATAAAAAAGAAAATAAGATTTCAAGTTTTTTCATATTTTCATATTATTTTATTTATTACCTACTCTTGAAGTACTAAAAGTGATGGCCTTATTAGTCTTTGAAAATAATGAGGAAAAATGGAACTTTACAACTGAAAATTGTTTCTGATCATTTTAATGTTCAACAATTTAAAAACATAATTTACAAAAACTAGTCGCCAATAGGTCTTTTTTTTAACGATTTTTTGTTATCATTTAACGTATTAAGAATTAAGTCTTTTTAATGTTCATCAGCTAAGCAAGATGTCATAACCCTTGATATTGTTTTGTGGTCCCTGTTTCACAATTAAAAAAGAAAAAAGTCCACGAAACAAAAAAGTAAGTCCCTTTAAAAAGTAAGTTACTAAAAAATTTTTTTTTTTTAAATATTAAGCGACGGGTCGAACAAGTCGTGTACCCGGTGGAAAGCGTCACGCCTGTCCATAACAGTAGCACTGCCGCTCGAAGGCTACTTCTACGGCGTCCATCTCTCTGAGACATAGTTGACAAGTCCCATGTGCCTGTAATTTCACCAGCACCCTTACCCTTCAAAACTGTAACACGGTAATGTGGCAGTACTACCCTGGACGAACTCACAAGGAGCTCTACTGCTACTAGTGATTTTTGAATATGATTTTCGGAACGAAAATGGCTCAAATGCTAATCCGTCAGTGGCAGCGTGTTGTCTTTGCAAATGCAGATTCAACAATAAATGCGGCGTTAATATTTCGACGCGGGAGTAGAATTTTTAAACTGAAAGAACAAAATGAAAGGGACCTTTATGAATCAGTGCTATTCGAGCTTTAATTGCACAATTTCATCTTCACCACAGTGTGACTAATGTAACAAAATATTTTTTTAAGATGGTTTTACGGTATAAACTCATTTTTTAATTTTTTGATTTGGGTCGCTTTCATTGTAAGGGTGCGAAGTATTA